GTGGAAGTTGAATCACGTTTCAAAATATTTTAGTCTGAGGGAAGTACTGAAGTTTTTCGGAGGTCTGGTTATTGCATATAGGAAGGTAAGTAGAACAGGAATTAAGAGTGATGTAAAAATGATATATGGAATAAAGTTTGCATTTCCCTGTTTCAGCACTTGCTAAGGATGAAAATGTTTCTGATATTTTTCTTGAATTACATGCATTACACTTCACTATTAACCAGCATTTATTGTCTCAGTAAGAGGGAGAAAGGACTCCTGTTTGATCTTACCTGATACCACTGCATGTTAGAGGATCCTACCTTTTTCTTCTGGGCACCTCATAGACAGTTAATCCCAAGGCACTTCTTTAAATTGCCCATGGCATGCACAGGCAGCAAATTATGTATATGTGGCATTCTATAGCTGGAATAAATCAGTTGCACATGGAAACTATTGACTTTTGCTTATATAGCTTATATTTCTTTTTTCTCCATTTGTACATCATAGCAAGCAGATATTAACCTTGGTGCTTTGATCAGCCTAAGCTAAAGATGTGCATACACTTCTACAGTGCAGACTCTGATCATGGCTTTTACAGGGCCATTGTGAAAGGAGTCAGAATTTATCCTAGCACATAGCTCTATGTAGCAATAAGCACTGCTGGAACAATATTAGAATGTGATAGAAAAATTTAATAAAGAAAGATGTTTTGATTTGTTTCAGTGATCCATATAATTATTCAGCATGGAGGATTCATCTGCTGAAAAATTCAGCAGTACCTGGCCCACTGATAGCAGCAGATGGCTGCTTTCTGTGCAAGAATGAGACAGCTGTGATTTCTGCTCTGTACCTGCGGCCCAGCCCCATCACACCTGCAACAGCATCAGTTCTACTTGTAGTGTAAGGATCTAATACACAATTCAGGAAAAATTTTCTCTTTAGCTGCTGTAGGTCTGAGCTAGTCAGCTCTCAATCACTGCAAGTAAGATATTTTTGCTGCTAGCTTTGATTTCCCTGTTGTTAAGAAAGAAATATTTAAAGTGCTGACATAAAAAGATTAGATCATATTAAACTGAATCAAAGAAGGTGTCACCTTTACTCCTTACTAGGAAAAGACCAGGAAAACAATATCCTTTCCTGAACTGATTTTAGACTACAAAGAGTTGAACAGCTCCAGTAAGAGTTTGAGTCAGTTTCCAAATTTATGTGAATTCAGACCCCAGTGACTCAAATTTCACAAGGACAAGCAAGCTCAAAAGGCATACAGTTCCTTTGCTGAAAATCATATTATACATCTTGCACTATCCTGGTCAAAATTTTATCATCTGTGGTCATAACTGAACCAAACGAGATAAATAAATTCTTTCTTTCCAGAAGAAAAAATCTGTACAGACATTTAATATGCAGCCATATTCAAAGTGCCAATTTGTGAGTTTTGTCATCCTGTCCACTAATACTGTCACCTTTCCACCCCCACTGAATTTGTGATACTTTGATTTAAAGTCCAGACCTACTGTTTTTTTGGTCACATAATTCTATTACTGTATGAAAATGAAAAGAGGACCTGAAACAATCTGCTCAAAGGTTGGCCAAAGCCCTTCTTTTGACTTAGGCTGTGGAATGGTCCCTTAAAAGTATGGCTGTCTGTCGAGATGAAAAATGAGGGTTGGGACTACTGTGCTATTTAAGATGATTTATTGTTTAAGAAAGCCAGATAAGATACCAGTCTTGAAGGCGAGAGATTTGGAGAGAAGCAACAAGTCAGCCACAGCTGAACGTAGTCATGGGTTTCTTCTTCACACAGCAATATATAAATTTTGGTCCAATAGACAGTTAACAAGTAAACCTGTTTCTACTTAATAACCTATCCCCTTTGCCTAATTTTGCCACACTGCATCTGTCTTTCAGCCAATAAACTGATAGATCATGTACACACACGTCTGTAAATCAAATCCTCTGGGTCAGTAAGAGTTTCCATTTTTCTGTTTCCCACAGCTATCATCTTCCCAGTTTTACTGTTGAGTATTTCAGATATTCAATTGATTTTATAATATTGAGCTTAATTCTAGTTTCTCGTTCAGGGTGAAGGGCTTACTGTCATAGAGAAGTTTCCAGCTGAAATAAAAGGAAATTTTCCTAACAAAAATTACACAAGAAAAGTATTGTTTAAAATCCTCAGCTGTGTTTGATTCCAAATCTAGAGGTGTTAAGAGATATTTTTTCATGAATTATGAATTCAAGGATTCTTTCATCATTAGTGTACAATTGACCTTTTCTGTCCAGACTCCTAGTTTAGTGATTTATTTTGATAAATAATGAATGAAACAAGAATCTTCAAAATACTTCTGTTGAAACTTACATACATTAGGAATGCCACAAGTTAAAGAAAGGGAGAATATCCTCTGAGACAGAACTAGGTACATGAGTACTCAATTAGATTTTGACCTTTTTTACCCATAAAGGATTGGTAGACAGATATTGTTTGCTACTTGCCTGAACTAAATTTGGTCTCCTGAGATGCATATGAAGTAATTAAAAAAAATAAAACCACTGTTAACTGAATTTACTCAACCGTCAATCTGAAGCAAATCTTATTTAATGTATTCGTCTATTAAACTAATATAATATTTCATATTTTAATCAGAAAAGAGTGACATTTAATTAGTGTTACATAGCCAAGACTTGAAGAAGCTCCCCTATCTGTGCATTCAGCTAGGCTATCATTTTTCAGTCTCACCACAGTGAGTCTTGCCTGCTTTTATGCTTCCCTTGGTCAAAGCAAACTGCAGGATTATTTTATTAATTCAAGTCCCTGACACCCTTCCTCAGAAGGAATAACCACTCCTTACACAATTTCATACAAATCACATCTTTTAGCTCAACTGCCTTACACTGCAAGGACTGGAACAGTCTCCTTTCCCAAATCCCTAAATTTCCTTGAGTACATTTCATCATTTTTTAAGGACTTGAGGTGGTTGAGACAGAGACACTAGTTTATAAAAACAAAACAAAAACCAGATAATATCAATCAGTCATAACATCAGTAATCTACAGGTCTAGACATACCAATAAAAATAAAAGAAAAAACCAAAAGCCCTGTGCACATGACTGCTATACCTTCCCTTGTACTTTTTTAGTTAATAGCAGAAATGTTCTTCTGTTGAGTGGTTTCAGACTATGACTCAGATATCCTTGGCTATTCCTCGAATGCTCAGTTTCTTCCATCCTGAGGTGCTGAAATGAGGCTATTTCAATGTCAGCATATTTCTGTTTCTGCCCAGATTTCCTGCACCTGCCTTGTTTTTTCTTTCATGTTCACTACTTCTCTCACACTCTGCTTTGTAAAATTGACTGCTTTTTGCTTTAACTGGGGACCTTAGAAACCTTCCACTCCCAGCCTCATGAAGAAATCAAAGATAACTGTATTCACATCAAATGTAGGCATCCCATTGTGCTATGGCATTTCTATCAGGGTGGTTGCTGTTGGGGTTTAATGGTTCCTAGGTTCTTTGGGTCCTGAGTAGCTTGGCAGAGTTCTGATATTATACCAATCCATTCTAATAATAAAGCACTTTCATAAGCTCACTCATTTTGACCCATATGTACATGCAGACAAAAGCCTATAAATCTATAGGGTTTTATTTATTTTTCAAACACTTAATTTAATCTTTTTAGAAATATGCAATGTGAATTCCTGATTTTAAAAAATCATAATGGGCCAAAGCAACATGAACAAATCAAGCCTTAATAAACAGTCTTCTGAGTCAGTTTGCAAAGCCTAAAACACATTTTTTTTTATTTTTTTTTTATTTTTTAAATATCATCATACAGCAGGGAATTATAGCAGCAGCTTTGCAATACGGGACATTTAAAATCAAATTCTTCCATCTCAAAGTGAACTTTTCTGGCCACTGCCCACCCAAAATCATATTGAAGCAATTAACTTCTAAGTCACTGGTTCTACAATTTCAGCTATTTGACACTGTAGTCAATAAAAGTGGCATGAGCTAATTTCACAGGAACGTCAAAGACTTGTTTAAGATGAGGCAGCCACTTACGACACAAAAAAATTCCTACTTGTTTTCTCCAAGCACAATATACAAAGAGTTTTTATTCATTAAATATCACTTATTTTGCACAATTATAGGCTGAAGACTGTGGCCTTGTCTGAAGTATCTAGCATCATAATATATTTACTTAGAAGTTTATTGATCATGGTCCAAATGTTTATTTTATTTTCCTTTAACATTCCCATTAAACAGCATTTTGAAATTCTCTTTGAAGAAAAAGGAAACAAAAAGATGAGAAAAACAAACTAGGTCATTAAAAAGTACTTGAGAATACTTCCAGAAGCAACCCACAGGCTTAGGGGAAAGCTCATTGTCAAGTATGATTTATGAAAACTTGTTAAATTCACTTAAGATAACTGGGAGGCAGACTAGGCTAGTACGCTAATAACCTCTTTAACATAAAGCCTTATGGAATACAGTGCATCCTTTATACAATGAAAAGGTTAATTTAGCTTGTCACAACACAGGACTGAATTAACAGGGAAATTAAAAGGTTCTCAATTTGTGTGATTAAATAAAAATACTGGGTGATAGCCAAGCTATTTCTACCATTCAATTGTTTTTTCTTTTTCTTGCCTTATCAGGTAAAAATCAGATATTAAGTGTGCATGCAAGGAAGTATTATAGCCAAATGAATGCAGAGACACCACAAAAAAAAAAAATCTACTATGCACAGGCAGGTCAGCCTTTTTTTTCTCTCTATTAATTAGGCCATTTGTATTATAAAATTCCAGTTAAATTAAGAAAAAGTTACTTTTTGGCAGATTTTTGGTCTGCATATAATCAGTTCTTGCTTAACCAAGAACTAGTACCCTTTCTTCTGGCCTACAGATGAAAACTCGACTCTGTTTCTACTGTTTGTTTCTTGTATAGAAATTGTCCACAGTTGAAAAGTTATTGCATGTAGCTTGTGTGTACATATATGCAAACACACACACATATATGTTATGTTGAAGCTGTATCCTGTTCTGAGCCTAGACTGGGAAACGATCATGATGGACAACAGAAGATCCTTGTGAAGAACGCCATACTTCTTGTTGCTGTGTCACAAAGTTAATGAATACCTGTAAGACATAATAGAAGTAGGATTTTCAAAACAAAAGTGCTTGAATTCAGACTTTGGGGATATAGGTGAGGGTATTTTTTAGCTGCTCTTCTTAGTTTTTTGGACAAAATAATTAATAACTCATGTTGAGGGAACCCCTCTAAAAACATGTCTTATAAACTCTAGAAGTAATCCCTTTTCCCCACTCCAGCTAAGACAGGGGTTGATAAATGATAAAAATTATGGTAAAATGAGTTACTGAGATATGAAGAATACATTTTACGCGCAAGTCAATGTGAAACAATGGTTTTAATTGTCTTTGAATGACATACCTAAAGAATCTGAGGTGCTTGTTTCTGCCAATAAATATTACAGATTAGGATACAAATATTTCAAGGTGAAAACACACTTCTGATTCAACAACTAATATGCCTCCTTGAATTGGTTTGGGTTTTTTTAAACACTGATCTTACTACGTAAAGGCTTCTTTTATTTTTAATCACACAACTATTTCACAGCAACGCATGTAGAGGGAAAAATGGCTCTCCTTTATTCAAATGATCCTCTTCATATACAAAAAAACTTGGGGTGCATTATAAGTGTGTTTGTTACTGTGAAGAAGTATTTTCCTGTTTAAAACTGACACTCAGTCAAGGAGAGGATGCAGCAGCAGGTGACTGAGGTGATGATGCATCGCCATGAAAAATGGAGAGGAAGTAAACCTGAGTGAAGAATGCCTGAAGAAATAGGATGAAATTATCTGAAATGCAGTCAATCAGTGAATAGATAATTTACAAATAGTTAGTAGACCAGCACAGAAAATAATACTTCTATAATGATTTGCACATGGGAAAAAGAAACCAAGTCACACCATCAATCATAGAAAATTAATATTTTGACTAGATGTGCCTCTCAGTTTGCAGAATGAATAACAAGTAGTTGCAAATGAAGATTCTGTAACACATCACAATCACCCAGAAATCCCATGCTTGCCATCAATGTGTTCTTCTTTTCCTCACAATGGGATTTCAGTCTTTAGCAGTCAGATCTCTTTCATTTGTTTGTGCATTTAAAATTCTCACTGGAAAAAGTTCTGAAAGTCTAAGGTTTGCTATGAGTTAAAGAGAGCAGTTCAGCCTTTTCAAGGACCTTAGTAAGATCCCAGCTTTTGGATTGTGGAGGTGGCGGTTCACAGCCCCACTTTGTCATCCCGCAAAGCTCCAGATTCATCTAAGCACAAATTATGTTTGTGCACATTACAACTACGTGGCTTGATGTGTTGCTTTTACTATGCTCACCTCCAGTGTAAAAGCAGCATGGGACATGAAACACTGTAACCTGAGATGGCCTGGAACTGCTGAGTATTGCACACATTCATATAACCCAGCAAATGATAGAATATTCTACTACATCAATAACTACAATACACAGCACATTTAGACAAAAAGAAGAAAATAAACAAAAAGTATAAAATACCTGCTCTAACGTGGATTGGCTAATGGAGTAGTGTTTGGTTTGGAGAAAAGCTTTGTGATTCTCTAGGACTCTGAATAGCTCTGCTAAACATCCCTGACTTCTTGGTACATGGTATTCGAGCAGGTTAAGATGTTGTCCCTGAAAAAAAGCAAAAAAATTATTAAAACAGATAAAAGTGAATGTACTTTGTGATGAAGCTATGCCTGCTTATAATCAGTCTAACTTCAACAGGCTCTTATTGCAGATTAATATGGAAAATAGCAGCTTTTAAAATAGAACATATTTTGTCTATATTCATAGCACAAAGAGCAATTCATACTGAGAGCACAGATTTTGTGTGTATTCTGAGGTGACAGCTTATTAATCTCATAAAAGATACAAAACTTCAGGGAAATTTTAATTTAACAGACTAGTGCTGTTACAATGCAGTCTGGGAAAAGGCTGAGCATACACAGATACACAGCTGTCTGACCTCAGTATAGACTTCTACACACAAAGAAGTTCATATCTAAGATAGACATTGCTTTCCATGGTTCTTTTCCTAAACACAGTTAAAGTAAAAGCCTTTGAGAGTTTTTATTGAAATTTAATTTCTACAGGTCTTTTATAAGGCTTTGTATTAAAGAATCTCAGTAAAGGCTGGCTTATCAACTCTGAGCCTTATCAGAAAGCAAACAAAGCAAAATACTCATAGTAACTACATTGTAGTCCTACTTCAGGTGAACACAGATTTGAGTTCAACTTCATCAGTAATAAAAGAAAAAGGAAATTTTCAGTCAGAGGAAAGGCCTTTCTATTTACATTGCCTAAATGGCTGTTTGGAGTTGATTCAACCAACATCCTAAGTACAATTTTTATGAACTGCTTAATAGAAAAACAAAAGGGATATTCATACGTACCTTTTCCAAGAAGATCAATATATCCAAACATGTAAATATACAAACATGTGTTGTGACGTGCCTCGAGGAGGCCAAGAGTTAGTTTTAGATAAGCATTGTGAAAGGGGAGGCATGGCTGTGGGCCATGTGTGTCGGTTTTGACCCCCTGTGTTGGGGGATGGGTATGTGAGCCCTGGATGGAGTTGTCCCACCCCAAACCCCTTGTTGGGGGCGGCCCAGGAGTTCTGATTGTATTTGAGTCCCTGGGGGGTTTCTCCCTTGCTGTGTTTCTAGTGGTCCCTGACCCTGAACTCCACCCTCAAAGGTGGAGACCCACAAAAGCTCTGTCCCTCAAAAACTCCTGCTCAGCCTCTGTTTGGGGCTCTCTGTTCTGGATCTGAGTTTGTTCCCATGCTGAATAAATGGTTTCATGAACCAGAAGCCCGTCTCGTTGGTGTTACATGCTGGTTCCCAGAACCCTGCAGCTTCCCTGGACATGATCCTGCAGTTGTGGACTGCAACAAACATGTACATACTATTCTGACCAGTCCCAAATTAATCCTGCCATATACATATAACAACAAGATTTATTTGTACCTTAAACTGTGTTCCAGGGAAATGCAGTTGTAGACAGTCCAAAATCATTCTTCCATAACTTATTTCTTTGCTAAGCCAAACCTTGACAGAATAACCATCTCCAAACCTGGGAATGAGATGCAGAAACATAAATCCATAAAGACACCATGAAGACAAGGAGAACATTTAGTTCAATTGATTTTCCTATGATTATATAAAATATCACACATGCCTACTGCATTATCACTTTGATTTTACTATAATGCTATTGAACAACAGAATTTCAATGAGAAATTTTTTAAATTAATAATAACAGAGACAATAAATATGTTATGCCTAATTTTAGTTACTAGTGTGTTTCACTACTCAATATACCTGAACTTTTGTTAAGTAAACTATGCTTTAATTGCTACATTGCTTTGAGTAGTCAGTATAAAACTACAAAGATTACCAGTCACATATACAGAAAAAAAAAATCCTTCATGTTTTCTAATGAGAAAGATGGGTGCAGCAGAACCTTTCAAATCTGTTAGCAAAGTTGCACCTTCAAAAGCAGATTTCAGCAGTGTGAGTACAATGGTGTTTTAAAGAAACGTAAAGGCAAGTGTAGAGATATTTAGGGAGATGGAAAGTTAACAAATTTTCTTTGGCTCTATGACTATGCAGTCTCTCTCAGAATAATTTAGGAAATTAACTTCTCTTTCTCAACACAAATGTGATAAAATTTAAGTAGAGGCAATGTAACCAACACTATATTTTTTATTAACTTTGCTCACTGCTGATGGTTATTTGGGAAAGTTGCAATAAACCAGCGAATGCTGAAATGATAACCATGTTCTTTTGCACATTTCTTACCAATAGAGGTTATGCTGCACCAGTCCCCAGAGTGGGTGCACAGACAGAGCTCAGCAGAGACATGGGACAAAAAGGGGCTGTGCTGCACCCTTTCCCTCCTTTGCAGCTACATGTCCTCCTTCCTTTGGGTTCTCCTTCTTGGTTAATTGCTAGGGAAAAACACCAACAGGAGCCACATCTGAAAAGCTTTCCACTGCCACTGCTCTTCCCTGTTGCCAGCGAGCAATGGAAAGGCAGAACTGAAAAGGGGACAGGGAGCTTGGGCAATACTGCCCATGTCTCCCCAAAAATGTGTCACTTCCTCTATCTTTCCACTGACTGCCACTCCCACATCCTTCATTCCAGCATAACTCCCTTTTCTTCATTCTCCACTGTGGCAATTACCCATTGTCAAATCCTTTATTCCAGTGGTTTGGTTCCTAGTTATTACCTCGGAAATATGCCCTTGTGCCAAAACCCTCCTCTCTTGTGTCTTTACTGCATACAACTCATGATTCAGGGCAGCAGCTGGCTCAATTGGGTCTGACTGGTGAAGACACATTTTCATGTCATCAAAGCATATCACAGCACACTCTACAATCCTGCCCTATGTCAATACATAAAAAAATGTCTACAGATTATCAATCAAATTGTAAAAAAATATACAAATAACTATTTTCAGATATATGTCCAGTTAAACCAGTGCATGTGTGGTTCCCAGCAAAATATTCCACATATTCCTCACCTATAATAAATATATTGCAATGTAAGGGCTTTAACTTTTCTTTTGCATTGGGTCAGAAACTCTGTTGTTAAAAAGGAACAGTCTGCATTGATTTAAGAGCGCTGCAAGTTTCTACAATAATAAAATAGACTGAAAATTTTGTTCTATTAAGTATTTCATATGAATTCAAAATACAATTTCCAAGATTCTCAAACAAAAATCCTATTTTTTGTTTTATGTAGTACAAAACAGTGGCATCTTCTGCATAAAAATGAAAAGCCGCATTACAGATAAATGACTGTAGGGTCTTTTAGCCTTTGGTTGGTTTGTGGGGGGTTTTGTGGGTTTTTGGGTTTTTTCTTTGGTTGGGTTTATTTCTTTGGTTTGTTTATTTTTTATTGTAGTCAAATACAATCACTTGAAATGGAGTAAGAAACATCCTGATGCAGTGTCCTGTCTGTTGGTTCCTGAAGGATGTTTCATGAACTGGATTGTATTGAGTCCATACAGCAGGGTACCAATACTAGAGAGTGTAGCCTGACAGACAAACAGAGCTGATTCATCAAAGAGGTCCAGAATTAGGTGGAATCCAAAGTGTCTGACAAATTTGCTTTGCACTGATTTTCTAAGTTTTAAACAGATCTCTAATTAAATGCATAGGCTCATCCCTGAAAAAAATACATGTGACAATAAAAGAAAGTTGTTACAAAGATGAATATAGCTAACAAGGGTATTCAATTTAGTTGACAGCTAACCTGAGGCAACATTTTACAAGAGGCCATTGATTTTGATCATGGTTTTTGAATTTCTATACAACAACCATTGAATTACAGTTTGAAAAATGCTGGTTTATGGAGACATTCAACATTCTCATAAAATGAAATTGCTGTCTGCAATGAAGTTTCCAAAGAAAATTAATCAAAGTTCTGATTAGCAAAGACAGATGAGTCTGTGCACCTTTGGTTTAGTACTAAATTGTGAATGCCATAAACATCAGCTTGGCATCAATAAAAAGCTTTAGAAGATTTTCTTCTTTTGGCTAGTTGAGCTATGATGCTTCTATACCTTGATTTTATACTTCATTTTATTGTAAGAGCTCCCCATATAGAGTAAGCTGATCAGCAATAAACATTTCCCCCTGCTATAATCAGCAAGCTTCTTCCAGCAGTGCACTGAGGCAATGGAAACTGACTATTTTGTTCACGCTGTTTCCCTCTCTGATACAGACAATTTATTTAATTCAGGAACCCAAAGTGGGATTCCAGAGAAAAGCACAATCTGATTTGATTAGCAGTGTTAGGATCAAACCTTTAGCACCTGATAGTTCAAGATCTAAAGAGGAAGACATTATCATCAGAATGACCTAAGTTGAGCCAGTAGACTCATTCAGCCATCTGCTGCAAAAGAATCTTCATTTCTTCAAAGCTATCCAACAGGAAATGTATTGTGCATTGCCATGTTTAGCAACACCTGCATTTCTATTTTTGTATAAACAAACACACAAAACCACATATTCTGACATAATAAAATATTTTTCTTCTCTCCTTTCTTTGTTGAACTACTAGTTTATGCTTGACTTTCACCTCATTAGTGGTTCTGGGAGTATAACTTACTGAGTGCTTTTTCTGTTAAAATGCCAACAGGGGACTGAAGCTAAAATATAAATTCCTAAATTGACTGTAAAATTATTAACTTGACTATTTAACAACAGCATCAGCTGCAGAAGCAGGAGCTTTACAAGAACCACAAGAACTCCACACTTTTAATTTACATAGGTCCTTAAGGTATCTGAGAACTCAGATAACAAGGGAGCAAAAGGAACATAAAAAGGTAGCAAGGAATGGAAATATTTCCATAGTAGGAATTACTAAATAAGTGAAAACTTTTCATCTTGAAAGAAAGATGACAAGATGGTCAAAAGGTTTTTTTAGAGAGCCCAGAATCATGACTAAGCAATGAAAATAAGAAATAATTCTTCACTCATATGTTTCTCATGTAAGAGCAGGAGACATAAAGTTAAATTTTAGGAAAATAAATGCCAAGTCTTCCTTACACTACGTAGAGAAACTGTACAACTCATTGACATGGGATGTACTAGATGTCAGAACTTGACCTGAGTTGAGTAAGAGACCAGAAAAATTCATGGTGGGGATCCACTAAAATCACTTCTGATTTAAGAGGCCTCTAAAAAAGAAACTGCTGAAGGTGGTTGAGTATTGTGGTAAAGTAACTTCCTGTGCTTATCTTGTTCCTGAACTTTTCCCTCTTGACTGGTTTCAGAGAGAGAATACTGTGCTAGCAGGTGTTGATCTGACCTCAGGCTTCATTTGGTATAAATATCACCAAGAGGAGGTCAGCTTGGGTAAATCACCCAAATGGTTCCTCAGTTCTCAGAAGGGTTTTGCAGCCCCACAGCCACACTGCCAGAAGTACAAAAATAGTTTATGTAAGTCAACTTCAGATATATGTCTACACAAGTTCCAGTCACACATTGAAATAAAGTGCAACCAAATCTATACTGATGAGGAAGCTCCCTTGATGCTTTTCTGATCCTCTTTTAACCTTGAAAATGGAAGTGGATTTAGTGGCCCAAAGGCTGAAAATTCTCATGACTATCAAGGAGAGGAGCTGCCAATTGGGGCATAGTAGCTTCTCAATGTTCACTTCTGCCCATTCCTTGGAGGTCCTTGTTCATAGGTTTGAATGGGGAGAAAAGTCCTTGTTAAAATACAGCTGAGCCTGCATTTGGTAACAAGGACTCCCTAAAGGAATTAACCCAATGGATTTTCTTAAGTTTGACCCATGAAAACCTATTTTATGTGAAGGGTGAAAAAGAAAGTACACTCTCAGCAAACTTCTATTTTCTTTAAAAAAAAAATCAATGTTTTCATTTAAAAGCCTCAATAGTTTTCTTGTCTACAAATGAACAAAACAAAATTTTGAAACCACTGTTTAAGTTACAGCATGTCCAGAATAAACAGCTCATCAGATCACACTCTTCCCAAAGCTTATTTACCAACTCTTCTCTACCCCAGTAAAATTTGCTGAATGTAACCTCAGGAAATGAAGAATATAGACCCTTTTCCTAAACTTTGAGGAATAAGAAAAGCATCTAATCACCCGTGTGCTTTTCCCCACCCCAATTAAAGAGTACATTTCCTAGAGAATGTTGTGCTGTATTTATATATATATACACACATCAGAGTATTACAGCTCACAGAAAATTTACTGATGGAAATATAAAGTACGTACTTTGTGTATGCACTAGTTTGATCAAAGGATTACTGCAAAATTACATTATTGGATAAAAAAAAATAGAACATTGGCACTTAATGTCTGCAAGGAACTGCATCTTTTAGAATATATGCCATAAATCAAAGAGAGGGAATAATATTCTACTGTGCTGTTTATCTCTCTGCTTTGGTTTACATTCATTTGGAGGCAGATATGGTTCTACTTTCCCTAAGTGAATAGAATCATGGAATCATTTAAGCTAAAATAGGCCTCATCTAGGGAAGATAACTTAGTTATACCAGTATAATTGCTGAAGCATGGGATGCACATCCAGG